TTGCTCCATAGGCTCAATCCCTCACTGGCCAATTCTCACAAGCAATCAGCCCAAGGGCAAATCTCTCCCATCATTGTGCAAACAGCAACGAAGTCTCACCTACAATAGAAAGGCACATACAACCCACACAAGGGACACACCTTTAGCACATGGCTCAGGTGACCAGGGAAGACTGTGGCAGTGGACCCCACAGAACATTTATTACATAAAGCCACTCTACTAAGACCGGAAGATTAAGGAGCCCTACTTAACACAGAAGCAAACACAGGAAGGTAGCCAAAATGAGGAGACAAAGAAACATGTCCCACATAAAAGAATAGAACAAAGTTCCAGAAAAGGAACCAAACAAAATGGAGATAAGCAATCTACTGGATACAGAGTTCAACACTGGTTATAATGATGTTCAATGAATTTAGGGGTAGATCGGATGAACTCGGTGAGAACTTTAAACAAAAGATAGACAAAATAAAAATAGATATGGAAAACATAAAAGAGAACCAGTCAGAAATGAAGAATACAACATCTGAAATGAAGAGTACATTAGAGGGAATCAACAGATTGGATGAAACGGAGGATCAAATCAGTAACATAGAGGATGGAGTAGCAGAGGACACCCAATCAGAACAGCGACAGGAAAGAAGAATCCAAAAAAAAATGAGGATAGTTTAATGGGCCTCTGGGACAACATTAAGGGTAACAACATTTATATCATAGGAGTACCAGAAAGAGAGGAGAGAGAACAAGAAAATGAAAACCTATTTAAAGGAATAATGATGGAAAACTGCCCTAACCTTATGAAGGAAATAGACATACAACCCCAGGAAGTTCAGAGAGATCCCAAATAAGATGATTCTAAAGAGGCCCATGCCAAGACACATCATAAGTAAAATGCCAAAGGTTAAAGACAAACAGAATCTTAAAAGCCAAAAGAGAAAAACAATTTGTTACCTACAAGGGAGATCCCATAAGACTGCCAGGTGATTTCTCAGCAGAAATTTTGCAAGCCAGAAGAGACTGGTAGGAAATATTCAAAGTGATGAAAAGAAAGGATCTACAACTAAGATTACTATACCCAGTAAAGCTATTATTTAAAATCAAAGGACAAATAAAGAGCTTCCCAGACAAGAAAACGCTAAAGGAGTTCATCACCACCAAGCCAGTATTACAGGACATGTTGGAAGGACTTCTTTAAGAAGAAGAAAAAATATGTATCAAAAATATGAATAAAGAATGATAATAATTACATATCTATTAAAAATACTTCAAGTGAAAAATTATTAAATGCTCCAATCAAAAGAGGGTACCCAAATGGTTAAGAAAACAAGACCCTTACATATGCTGCCTACAAAAGACTCATTTCAGATTAAAAGACACACACAAACTGAAAGTAAATTCAGTTAATTGTGAATATTTCATGATGGACCTAGAGGGTATTGTGCTGAGTGGAGTAAGTCAGATAGAGAAAGACAAATGCCATATAATTTCACATACATGTGAAATCTAAAGAACAAAATCAACAACAACAACAATGAAAAACAGAAACAAACTCATACATACAGAGAACATTTTTGAGGATTATCAGATGGGAGAGTGGCTGGAGGTCAGTGAAAAAGGGAAAGGATGAAGAAGTACAAATTGGTAGTTACAAAATAGTCATGGAGATATAAAGTATAGCATAAGGAACATAGTCAATAATATTGTAATAACTATGTACAGTGTCAGATGGGTACTAGATTTATTGAGGTGATCATTTTGTGAGTTATATGGATGTCTAATCACTATATTGTACACTTGAAACTAATATAATATTGCATGTCAACTATAATTGAAAAATAAAAAATATTATTAAAAAAATCCATATATTTGGATGAGGGTAACTTTCCTCTTGCCAGTATTTCAAACGTATATATATAAACAAATGTGTGTGTGTGTGCGTGCGCGTGTGTGTGTATTGAACCTAAACATTAGTCTGCAAACCCAGGTTTTGATAATCTCTAAATTTTGATAGAGATTAATTGTATTTCTTTCCTATCACTCACAAAACTTCTTTTAGTATGGAACATCTGTTGTATTTTTATGACATGTATTGCTTGCTTATTTTTTGGTGAGAAACAGTCAAAAAACTAATTAATTATGTAGTAGTAGTAAAAGCTTTTTTAATGCGATGCTAGCTCTGACAACATTATAATGAGCAAGGTTTCCAATTAACTGACTCTTCAATATATTGAGTTTTCTTTACAGAAACTAAGCTATAGGGTAGGGGTCAGTAAATCTTTTCTGCAACAGGTGATATTAAATATTTTAGACTTGTCAGACATATAGTCTGTATTGCAACTACTCAATTCTGCTTATAAAAGTAGACATAGACAATATTTAAACAAAGGAGATTGTTGTGTTCATATGTAACTTTATATTAAAAAGAGATCATAGTTTATATCCTTCTGTTCTAGGGAAAATACCTGTAATAGCAATTTGGAGTTAGTTAATGTTAAGAGGTAAAACAATCTAAAACTGATCTCTCTGCCATTGCTTCCCTCAAAAGCTTCAATCGATAGACATGTTTCTTCAAAGTTGCAGGAAATTTAAAATTTTGAGAATGCAATTATTATCTGTGTACTTAGTAAGCTAAGAATAGAATTTAGAGGTAAAACATTTTTGCAAAGTAAAGTATCATCCTCATTTAATGATAAGTTTATTTTTTAATTCATGTTCATGGACAAAGTTGTCAATGTGGAATGAATCACTATGTTCTCTAAGTAAAACTTTTAAAATTGTGATATGCAGAAAGCTAAATGGTTTGACAGTAAGCCATTAAATTAGAAAGTTGCTACTTGGGTACACTTGGGAGAATAAAAATTTACTGCTCCAGGTTATCCTTCTGGAAACTTAGTGGAAACAGAGGATCAGTTTCTAAAACACTGACTTCTACTAGGCAGAGATACAAAACATGTGAAGCCATACAAATAAATAGCTAAAACAGAATAGAGTTAGTTAGTAAGAGACTGTTCATGTCTCACATCAGTAGGGAGAACACAGTGTAGAATCAAAAACAGCATCGTATCTTATTGGCCAACTTTGTGTTGGCTGATCTTGGCAGGAGTTGGTCTCAGGGATCCTGCTAGTCTCAGCTGAGCTCCCTTATGCACCTCTAGCTAACTAAAGGGAGATGGGGAGACCAGCAGAGCCATGCTGAGTTCAGGAATGGTGATTCTAATTCACATTTTTTTTCTTTTTCCATCTGGGCCAGCCAGTTGGCACAGACTAGTTATTTTCAAAGAGGTGGGGGCAAAAAACAAGCACTCAAAAGCTTTGGGGATTCTGCCTGCATGTATTACATGTGCTGACATTACACTGATCAAAATAATTCATCCGGATGATCACAGAGGCAGAGAATTGAGCCCTGCCCACAGTGGGTGGAACTGAAGTGACATGGCAAAGGACAAGGATACAAAAAAAGACAAAGAACTAAAACCATTAAGGCAATTTACCACAGCATGTGTACACTTGAATTGATTAAATTAAATATGGACGTGACATGTGATTAAGTGATAAACTGCAAACTTCTATTAATTCTTTCAGGTTGATAGGATACACTAAAGCAGATGTTCTCGAACTTTTTAGTAATGCAAAACTTTTACACTTAAAAATCATAGAGGACCTGTGTTTGTAATTAAAACAGAATTTTAACATGCATGTATTTATTTTATTTTAGAATAGCAGTAACAAACCCATTACACATTAACATAAATAATATATTGTTAGAGAGACAAAACTATATTTTCTGAAATAAACAAAAAAATATTTTATGTTTAGCAAATCTGTTTACTGTTTTGTTTAACAGAAGACAGCTGATTTTTTATATCTACTTCTGCATTCAATCTCTTAATTTTCTTTTTCTTTGTGAAGAATAAAGAAAATTAGCTCTTGTGCCGATATATAGTCAGAAAAAGCAGAAGTAGTTCAACAGGCTTTTCAGTTAATTGTGAATATTTTTTGATAATACTCAAAATTTAACAAGTAAGAACTTAGAAGTTATAGTGTGGAATGTAAAACCAAATTACTAAACTTTCTGTACTTTCTTACATTAAAATCCATTGGTTGGTTTTGCATTTTGAAGAGCTCTTTTATCCATGATATGTAACATCAAGCAATTGTCATTTGGAAAATATTGGTTCACTAAGTATGAATATTTTTCAAATATTTACATAATTTATTATACATTATTTTAAAATTAGATATTACTACTAAGCTCATCAGAAATATCTTTAAATCCTGGGAAGGGGTCATCCTCATAGAAATGAATACAAATTTTCCAAGTTCTAATTTCTCTTGGAAACTACTTTTTTTCTTTGTTTTCCTTGACTTGACAGACTCATGCAGCTCACACTACTGTCTATCAGTTTCTCTTTCATTAAAAAAAAAAAAAAAAAAATTATCAAGTAACAGTGGCTTGTTCAGCTTGCAACTCAAATAATCTCATAAGTGCATTATGTTGAGACAACCATCTTACTTCGGAATGTAATCAAATGTTTTATGCATAAATCCCACCTTAAACCTTAAACATATGAGAATTTAGGTATTGAGATTTAATAAAAATTTATCATGTTACAGCTTTACCAAGGAGACTTTTAAATGGAATTATTTTTTTTCCCTGCAACTGAATGGCTTTGATATTCAATGACTACCAGTACTATTTGATGCCACTGCCTTGATTTATGTTAAATTGCCGGTAGTTTTACCTGTCACTACCTTTGCATTATCAGTGCAAATGTCAACACAGTGACAAAGGCAAATAATGTCTTTATATTATGAAAACTATTTAGACCTAAGAGGGTCTTGGGAATGCCCAATGTTTGTGATTTACACATAGTAAACCACTGCACTAACGGGTGAACCATATTTACGGTACAGCAGTTTGTCAAAGATTTTCTTAAAGATATTTGTACTTACTATTTTAATCATTAAGCAAATTTAAAACTTGGTATTATGTTCCCCCCCAGGGTTGTTTCGTTGGCTTTGATCTAGCACATGCAGTTGGAAATGTTGAACTCCACTTACATGACTGGGGAGTTGATTTTGCCTGCTGGTGCTCCTACAAGGTACAAACTGGTTAATACATTTACATCCTTTTATTCCACATTAACTTTAACCTAAATAAAAAAATGAATAGGTGACCATTTTTAACTATTTGAATTACTTTTCTCCATTTCTTTTATTAGTAAATTTTGTGGTTTTAGTTAATTGTAGAGTCATACAATAGAATTGTATGATTAAATTCTGGTGTTTCTATTCCCTATAGAGTACTTATTCCTTCAATTCCCTGGCTGCTATTTAAAAAAAAAATTTTTTTAAGTTAGGGGGTTCTGGAAAAGAGCTCCACACTTAAAACTTAATTCAAATTGATTAGGTTCTGAGTTTATTTTGTTTTGTTTTTGATACTTTGTGAAATGTCTACATATGTAAGATAATTCTTATTTGTAGACAATTTAATTGACAAGGAGCATGAAAATGAAACTAATTTTATTTTAATTTAAGTGTTTTTAAAATATAATACTTTGATTATTATTTAAATATTTTTGTGACAAAATAATTGAAAGTATTGTGTTTTGAAATTAGATTAACTTCAGTAAAACCATTATCTACTAGTTAGGACAAAATTTGGCCAAAAACTAATAGCTATTTATACTCAATTAATAATACTATGTTTCATTTGTTTTTCTTTAAACAAAGTAACCCCAAATTTTGTTTAATCATAAATGCTCAAATAATCATACATTTGGATCTGGCTAAAGGTCAGTTTCATAAGAAAAAGTATGATTACATTGTTAGTTTTTGTTGTATATTCAGATAAACCCATACAACTTAATGTATTTTCAATCCAGTATTTAAATTCAGGAGCAGGAGGCCTTGCTGGTGCCTTTGTCCATGAAAAGCACACCCACACAATTAAACCTGCGTGAGTATCATCTTTTGATTATTCTTTCATGATGATTAAATTAATTTTCATTAATAATATGCTAAATTTACATAAATTCTTTAAGGAGCTACCATTAAGAATCTGAATTGATTATAATTATTTTACTACTTTATTAACAATGATTTGTTTATCAGAAATAAATGCTTTCCAAAGGATTCAACTGGTTGAACAAGAAATTTAATCACAAAAATGAAAGCTTTGAGGCTAAAAAAGTCATATAATCATGTAGAGGAGATGGTTTAATGCAAAGAGACTACTTAATTTTTTCCAAAAATTAAACTTTAGAAAATTTCAGATTTCTAACATTAATGAGTAAATCAAAGGCAACTAGAAATGTGCCTAATTAAATGTGATGTGTTGTTATTTTTAAATGTGATGTGTTATTATTTTTAAAAATCTCATCTGCCTCTAAAGCTAGAAACATAATATGATGGTCTTGTAAGGAACATCTCCTGTCCTAAAAGATTTTATAACCTATGAAAACTGAAGAAGCTGAACACTGAGCAATACACTGACTATATAAAAAACAATACTTTTCTATTTTATGTAACTTTCTTCATTTTTATAGAGCAAGTATAAATGCAAATGTAATACACGAACAAATTTACACGTTTTTATTTGAGGAACTCATAGTATTTCTTTTACTTTTGTCTGGTATGGCGATAAAGAAATAATATTCTGGGGGAAAAGAATCTTCCATAGTTGTTGTTGCACAGTATGTAGTATAAGGAGAATGTCTAGACTCTTAATAGGTAACGTAATGAAGTTTGATTAGTTTTCTAAATCTTCTCAGCCACTGGCTTAGTGTTATATAATCTTCACAAGAATTAAAGCTGAATTAGTAATAACACTTGGAGCGCTTCACGTTTCTGAGGTTCTACACATATAAATCCTAGAAATTTAAGATTATTTTCTATAGTTTATTTAATTATGTTTAAAAATTCTTCAAGATTTTAAAGTTTTAAAATTAAACAGAGCATTCTCTTTAGATAGGTATTTGTCAGGCAGAAATCTCCCTCTCATAACTGTCAGTACATTAGATTTCTCCCCTTGTCCTAAATTCTCTGAAAAAAATATAAAACATATACTGTAGGAATACTAGGCATTTTTTAAAAGTTTTTTTTTTTTATTTTTCACAAACTTCATTGGTGTTATACCTAGCATACTTGTTTTCCACACAGACTGTATATATAGATATTACTGGCTTTTGTGTGGTGATTCATCCTGACTGATTCCCACTCTTCACTTATTTAAATTGTAAAAGAGGATTTGATGTATTATATCAACCCAAAAGATGAGCCAGTGCGGGTAGCACGAGCCAGTGGGGGTAGCAAGGTTATCTTAAGTAATCTATACAAATTCTAGAGAATGCAAGTTTTGACAGTTAAGCTCTGGTCTTACAGCATCAGTCTATTGCTCTCGAGATTTCTTTCATCATTATTTGCCCTTTATGGCTAAGAAGCAGAAGAGGGTGAAGGGGTTATAGTGTGCTTGCATATGCCTTATCTTATAGAACTCCGACATGTTCTAGATACTGTAATTGTTAAGTTTATGATCTTAGAAGAAAGACCATCTAGGCAGACAAGATTCACATTCAGTATGACCACTTGCTGATCTATAACCTGAAGAATGTTCCTTGACATCTCAGCGTTCTAGCCCCTAAATACAGTATCAGTACCTACCTGTAGTCAATTATTACGAGAATAAAATAAGATGATGCATGTAAAGCACTAAGCACAGCCACTTACGCATTATATGTGATCCATACATGTAAGCTAAGTACTTTGTTAACTCATTGTGAAGTTTCATTTGTAACTTGCAGATTTTTGCCTAGTAGAGATCATTTCTCTCAAACAGGAAACATAACCCCAAAGGTTATGTTTTGTCACCTTTAGGATATTAAGCAGTTTTGTACCTATCACCAAGTTCATTTCAGCAGGCCTTTGACACAGACTGACTTTGTAAGTCTCCATAGCCTGAATTCTCTCTAGTACCAGACTTACCATCTTACTGGTTTCTTCACTAATTAATGAGTTGAATGAGATCTTTGTGTATGTTCATTTTATATTTGTACAAAAAACATGCTTTTAACTTTTTTGAAAATTGTACATTACTAACTATTATTGCATTTTAACTAACTGGCTTTAGAGACTAACAAGACTCAAATTAAGCTTGACTCACAAAACCCTCCTTCAAAAACTGATTGTTTGTTTGTTTGTTTATTGTTAAAGCTTCTTTTTATATTCCATCAGAATGACTAATTCCAATGGTACTACCTTCTACACTATAGTGGAATATAACTGATAATGATGTTGCAGACTTTGTTGCTTAAAAAAGGATGACATCTAGTGGCTAACCATGTTATTTCAAATAAATAGTATCCAAATAACATTTCTTTTCCTGGTCATCATACATTCTTTATCAAGGATTCTTAAAGTATATGTACTTAAATTATTTTTAATTTTATATCATTTGACTATATATTTATAAGGCAATAATTGTGTAGTCAAAGCCTTTGAAAAAGAGGTAGAACAGGATGAAGGAGGAAGTCAAGGTGGGAGGTGTTCTAGGTGCAAGGTTAAAGAGCACGCATAAATGTGGGGAAGAAGAGTATTATGGAAGTGGTTGGCCTACGTGGTGTAGAGAGCAGATTCCAGGATATATAATTCTGAATTCTAAAAGTTTAATATTTAGTATGTAAATTTAAAATATCTTTTGTATGTAAATTTAAAATATCTTTTGTATGATGTTTCCATAAGCAACAGGTAAATTACATTTCTACCAAGATATTTCACTTCGTTTTGTTTGTTTGTTTGTTTGTTTAAATAGGCATTTTGGCCAAACTGATGACCTAAGAGTTTTTCTAAGAACTCTTTGCCAATAAAGAAAATGAGTAGGAATCAGAGTCAATCCACTGCATTAAACATCATAACTGAAGCTATTATTTACAGCTAGAATTTGACCTTTTCCTAGTTTATCATTACTTTTTCTCTCCGGTGACATATGCTAAACTTCATTTGTAGCTAAGAATTATACTAAATAAGGATTGATAGTGAGTAAACACCATCTTGTACATTTTTTTTTTTCCTTTTAGTGCTGACTTCAGTTCAGTCTATAAAGTTGTTAGTTGTTGCTCTGAATATGAAAAGAAATATTTTCATATGTAAAAATTTGACAGAAATGTATCACTAAAAAAGTACTTAAAATACCTTTGAATTTTTCTTTTTAACTTTATAAATATTGACTTTTTTGGTACATTTTAAATTAATATTTAACCTTTTGATTTTAGTGGTTTCAAAAATATCCAAAGCCCATAAAAAGATTCTTCTGTAAGAACCCATAGACTGCAATTCAAGATTCTCTTCTCCTGCACTTTTTTAAAGAGAGATTCTAACATGAATATAGGAATGGATTATATGAGCTGTTAAGATTCCTTCTATCATTTACTTTTTCACACTGTCCAGTGTAATCATACATACTGGAAAACTGCTCTTCCTTACTTTCCATGGTGGTATAATAAACCTCCAAGTATTTCCATGTGTTAGATCTCTTGAGTGCTCATTTATCCTAGATTTTTTTTTTTTTTTTTAAGCTTTCTGAGTGGCTAGTAATGGGGCTTAGTAATAACTTTGATGAAAATGCTAGAATTTCAAGTCATGCCAATACATTTCCATAATCAGCTAGAGGTGTTTGATTGAAGACTTTAATAGGGATGACATTTTAAAGACTTCATTAAGGGCTTGAGTCATCTCCTTTATTGTAATAAGTAATTTGCAGGTTAAAAGGAACCAGTGAAAGAGGTTAGTTGACTTCAGTGCATGGTTAAGGCAAATTTTAGAACTCAGAAATGTAGGTTATTATTATCATTTGGCAACTTGAAAAAAAAAAGAGAGAAGACACATTAAACAATAGTCAAAAAGTCTAAGAAAAGATAAAAATAAGTATTAAGAATTTTGGCAAAAAAGACTTAAAAAATTATAAGCGTATACCATGCTTGGCTCAACTAACTGCACAATTAATGTTATAAAAGGAGAACATCTAATGCGCCTTTCTTCTGGGCAGTGCTGAGTTGGTTAATTTATTTCCACATACTTCAGACAATGGTGGAGAATGCCATAGCCCAAAACTTATCTACAATTTAAACTTCGTTTTGGTTTCTTAGTGATCCTTTCTGACTTACTACTTTTCACATCCTTGTCTAGTGTCTGCGTAATGTCTCCTTGTTAAAGACTGAAAGAACAAGGACGTGTAGGTGGCAGTAATAAAATGTGTAAATTCACAAGACTCCAGGCACTTTCAATTGGGATAGGCCAATATCAGTAGATTTCTAAGAGAGTGTTTCCGCAGAATCTCTATTTGAAATATGACCTAGCCCTCCCAGGTCACATGTTTTATTTACCTCTTCAGCCTGTTACTGGAGTTGGGTATTCAGCATTAATGTGGATAACTTCTCAGCAACAACTTCTTGACCTCTCAGCCATGTTAGGTGTTAGGTATACTTGTCCATCCTCTTTGTCATTAATGTTGACCTCCCACAGTCCTAAGCTTCCAGTGTACCATTTTGTCTTGATTCTGCACCAATGTTAATGATTACTTTATTTCACAAGGTTTACTCTTTCACTGTTTCATGGATTCTCTCAATGTCCTCTTCTCTGGGAGTATCTCATCCACAGTCATGATTTCAACAATTGACATTTGTAGAAGCCACCGATTTGTATTTCCAGCTTTACCACTTGCTCAATTTTTGGCCTTTATTTTCATCTGATTATATATTGCAAGAGTTCTTGATTATCAAAGGGTTACTTCAGTCCCCGAAGATACATGGCAATGTAGAAAAACAAAGGTTGTCATGATAAGAAATATTCACAAATGAGCTACTCACTTATAAAATTTGCCCTTACCTAACACCTTTTCTCAATTAGTATTAGTACTTATCTCTGAGTTATTATTTTAAAAAATCTTAGTCATTTGCTGATTAT